TAAGGATGCTTCCATATAAATATGACTCATCATGGCTGTTCTTTAGAAGAAAATTTTTAAAGATCATTCCTTTATATTTCTATGTAAAACTTTGATCCTCCAAGGTGGCCCCACCCTACCCCCGGGGGCCATGATTTGAACAAACTTGAATCTACACTACCTGAGGATGCTTCCATATAAATTTGACTCATCATGGCTTTGCTTTTCTTGAGAAGAAGATTTTTAAATGTTTTTCCTATATATTTCTATGTAAAACTTTAATCCTCTATTGTGGCCCCGCCCTACCCCCGGGGGTCATGATTTGAACAAACTTGAATCTACACTACCTGAGGATGCTTCCACATGAGTTTCATCTTTTCTGGCCCTGTGGTTCTTTAGAAGAAGATTTTTAAAAGATGATATTAATTTTTCACTAATTCTTTATTATCTCCCGTTGAAAGAGGGTGTGGCCCTTTATTTGAACAAACTTGAATTCCCTTCCCCCAGGGATACTCTCTGCCAAGTTTGGTTGAAATTGGCCCAGTAGTTCTGGAGAAGAAGATGAAAATGTGAAAAGTTTACGACAACGACGACAACAACGACGACAGACAACGGACAAATTTCGATCAGAAAAGCTCACTTGAGCCTTCGGCTCAGGTGAGCTAAAAAAAGGAGAAAAACACTAAAACGACCGTCGACACGAACAGTTAAAATTGTCGAATACTATTTGGGACGCCCTGTCCCTTTCTCATGACATAGAAGAGGTTAAAAAGTCCCAAGATAACAAAACGGATGAAAACTAAAATATCTAGCACTACAACTACGCTAGTAAACCCCATTTCTTTACAGTTTTACATATTGAATTTCGATATGAAAAGTAATCAATATGAAATGAATCCGGACAACCGCGAGTCACGTCCGGTCTGGTCTCCTGTGATTTACACAAGTGTCATAAACGATCAAATTAATTATTATTACGGAGGGGTAAACCGTACAATGTCATTCTCTCCAATATACTGCTATAGGTCTACTACTAAATAATAATAATGGTTGGCTGCAAATTTAATACCTATACTTGGCACTGAGAGGCATTGATCAGTGAGGGATCTTTTTCGTGCCAGCACCTTCTGCGACACGGGACCTCCGTTTATACGGTATCATCTGAAGGACCGGTCTCCACGTCCCGCAGTGGGAATCGAATCCGCGACGTAAGGATCAACTCCTATCTTCGCGACTCTAGAGCAAATGCTCTAACCACTGCACCACGCGGGCGACTAATAATTTTAAGCCCCATTATTTTTAAATTTTGAAATATTATTTGAAATGTTATCGAATAACAGTATTAATGAGAGAGAAAGAGTGTTAAAAATAGAAGTAACAACAGTAAATAGAAGATAATTAACAAGAGGCCCAAATGCCTTAACTGTCACATGAGTATAATGTAACGATCCATAGATTAAAACAAAATAAGCTGATAAAGGAAGCTATGTTGCCCAAAAGCAAGAGAAATAGAATGATCCGTGATCAGCAAAATATTAATTTATTACTCAGAAAAAAAACAAAGTTTTTCTATTTATTTGCCTGTACCAATTTATCATTGATCATTCCCCTCACATTAGACTCTCTTATAATAGTCTTTGAAGATTATTTTATGTACAAAGATGTGATATTTATATCCAAATTCATATATCTGTAAGAGTCTACCTGACCATTGAACACTATGAAAGTACGTTCTGTATTAAATATTGTAAAAAATTCTTGTATAATGTTATTCAAATGACCTCTAAAATTACATTATTTATCAAAGGGGAATAGCAAAGGGGAATAACTTCTTTCATTAGAAATTAATAAATTGACCAAAGAGTACAGAATTTCAATTCTGGTAAAAACACCCTTGCTTATTTCAACTTTATATACTCTGCCTCCTAGATGCAGAGGAGCAGAGAATAAGATTTTCAAAAGAATAATCCATTTTCACTATAGATTCAATATAGCCTCACCCTAATACCAGAGCCCCTGACCCAGGGGCAAAGATATTTACAAGTTCGGAAAAGGCACTCTTGCTCATCATAACAATGCACTTTGTATGTTTCCTTAATAAAGATGGGCAGAAAAGAAATTTCCAAAGAAATAGTGCACTTTCACTATATAATCTGTAGAGCCCTCTCCCCCTTCCCACAGACCCCCTGACCCTGGGGCAACAAATTTCACAGTTTTAGAAGAGGCATCCTTGATCATCATAACCATACATATAGTTTATCTGCTTTATATGCAGGGGGAAAAGATTTTTTTTTCAAAAGAATAATCCATTTTCACTAAAGATTCAATATAGCCTCACCCCAATACCAGAGCCCCTGACCCAGGGGTAAAGATATTTACAAGTTCGGAAGAGGCACTCTTGCTCATCATAACAATGCACTTTGTATGTTTCCTTAATAACGATGGGCAGAAAAGAAGATTTCCAAAGAAATAGTGCACTTTCACTATATAATCTATAGAGCCCTCTCCCCCTTCCCACAGACCCCCTGACCCTGGGGCCACAAATTTCACAGTTTTAGAAGAGGCATCCTTGATCATCATAACCATACATATAGTTTATCTGCTTTATATGCCGGGGGAAAAGATTTTTTTAAAAATAATTGATGCATTTTCACTATTTTTTACCTATGGAGCCTCACCCTAATACCAGAACCCGTGCTGGGGACATGAATTTCACAATTTCGGTAGAGGGCTTTATGCTTATTACAATCAAGTCAACAGTTTGACTGCTTGATGTCCAGTAGTAAAGAAGATTTTATAGATGGCACTCATTTTGATGGTTTTGGTCCCACCCCTAAGGCCGGGGGGGGGGGGGGGCATGAAATTCATAATTTATGTTCCCTTTCAGTCATAGATGTTTCAAGCCAAATTGGTTGAAATTGGTTCAGCGGTTGCAGAAAAGAAGATGAAATGTTCAAATGTTAACGCACGGCGACGGACGAAATAGGACAGCAATAGGTCACCTGTGTGACTCAGGTGACCTAAAAATAGTGTAACAAAAATAATAATACGCATTAATATTAAAATTACTAGTAAAAACTTTGTTTATAGTCTTCCTTGGTATTGTCAATCTTTTTTCTTTGAGCGTCGGTCCATTTTGAGTTATAGTTAACAAGCATTCTGAGAGTATTGCATTAGCAATACTAGTCCCCTACCGGCAAGTGTAAACTGGTTCCCGTTAAGAATTGAAAATGCCATAATTCCGTCAAAAATTGATGAAGCGGGACGAAATGCAAACTTGATCTATAACTAATCAATGTAAAGCCACATACCAAAATTCAGCTCAATATCTACAAGCGTTTAGAAGAAAATTGCGGAAAACCCTTAAAAATTGAAAAGGCCGTAATTCCGTCAAAAATCAGTGAAGCGGAACGAAATGCAAACTTGATCTGTGACTCATCAAGATACACTCACATACCAAAAATCAGCTCAATATCTGCAAGCATTTAGGAAAAATATGCGGAAAACCAAGTGGGACAGACTGACAGACAGACAGAGGGACAGACAGACAGACAGACGGACGGACAGACTCAGAGGAAACCTATAGCCCCCCCCCGGTTTCACCGGTAGGGGACTAATAACCACTACTGTAATGTCCTCTAATTCGTGACCTTCCAGGTTGATCTGGTCCCCAACTGGCTCATTGACATCTTGGTCTTAATGGTCGAACGTGATTATTGATTTTCCTGCGGAGATCTCGCATTTCCCCAGCATACTGTTTGGAACAAACCTTACAGCTGATGAGATAAATGAATTGTCAGTTCGACAGGGCAAATTCCCTAGTATTCTGTATTCGGGGTTGCTAAAGCTGTCTGTGTCAGTGCTGTGCTTCTTATATCAGAGCGAGTTTTAAACCCTCATTGGGTAATGGGTTGCCTATCTGGTTCTTAATACAATGTCCATCGAGCGCCTATAGGCAGCAAATGGAGATTTCTTGTTAAATTTGCCATCCTATCTCAAGGACACCATGGACTATATAAACAAGACACCCTCGACTGGTCTTGCAGATCATACCCTTCTCGTGACTATGGACGTCACATCTTCCGTACGATGAAGATATCGAGGCCTGGGACAGTAGAATTATACAAACTCCTACTGAATCCCTTGCCAATGTTCTTAAGTGTAATGTGTTAATGTTTCATGTTAAAAGGAAAAAAATTACCTTCAAGTCAATGGCACTCAATCCTGTTCTTAAGAACCTCAGAGTTATTCTTAAAACTGTAAAAAGAACCTGTCAACTCTTCACTCCAATAAAAAAAATGACAGAGTCTTTAAGGAACCTCCATTGGCTGCCTATAGGCGCCCGAGGACATGGTAGTAAGAACCTGAAAAGTCACAAATGGGAGGACATGAAACTAGTAGTTATTGACCATAACTCAAAATTGACCGATCTTCAGAGGAAAAACAAAGGAAAATTCTGGATGCATAAGGTTAAAGTCATTCCGCCCTGATAGTATTAACAAACTGAATGACTTCACCAGGATGAACTTGAATTAGTCGAAAATGTTTGATAATACCAAGCAAGGCTATTCTTTCCACATAGTTTTTACTACCCAAATAATTCATATTATTCTTTTTATTACACTATTTTCAATTATCCTCTTCTCCTAATTTATATTACTTCTTTTTTCTAACACTGTTTCTTTTTAATTTATTTTTAATGGTCAATATTCCAATATGTAATGGGGCTCAAAATTATAAGTCTTCTTGTAATTTTGTCATTCATATACAATTTCCTTTGTTTTTTTATTTGCTTCATTTCAGTTTTTGTATTATTATTTTAGTAGCGCTATAATCATGATGATGGAGAGAATACAACGTAGTGTGACCGTGTGAAATGAACAGATTTTGAGTGGCAATTATTTTCTTTGATATAGTGCTAATAATAACATAATTATAGACCTTGACCGCAAGACATTTGATGCCACCTGTAAATGAGTTAACATGTAAATTATTATTCAATTATATCAATTATGTCAATTATGTCCTTCTGCCCAGAGTTACCCGGATTCTCCACCAAATATGACCGGTAGAAATGCACAAGTCGGTACTTCGTTTAATAATTTTTATTACGATCCAAAACTTGGCGTTTTCTACACGATCTGTGAGTCGGCGTGGACTGTGCAAAAATGGACAGAGGCATATCCCCTGAAAGAAATTTCAGCCATAACAGTTGCAGATGCATTCTTCAGAAATTTTATTTGTAGATTTGGAAGTCCGGACTCCATTCTTACAGATCGAGGTCAGCAGTTCATGTCAAAGGTTTTGACAGAGTTGTGCAAAATCTTTGAAATTACAAAATTAAAAACATCCAGCTACAGACCTCAAACGAATGCAGCTGTTGAAAGAGCAAATAGTTCCATCTTAAACAAACTCAGGACGTACATAGATGCAGAGCAGACAAACTGGCCAAAATTATTAGCTCCAATCACATTTGCCATGAATACAACAATTGCTACGGAATCAACTCACTACAGTCCCTATTATCTTTTGTTCGGCCGAGAATGTAAGACGCCATTAGACACTTCCCTAAATCCAGCAGAAATCGTAGGTCAGAATGCAAAAGAGTATGTTGACAGCATACATAAGGAACTCAAGAAAGCCAGGGAACTAGCTACCAGAAATATTGAGGAAGCTCAGGAAAAATACAAGACTCAGCACGACAAGCGGGCAACTCCGCCAGAATTCAGAATACATGAAAAAGTATGGCTGAGGTCGAAGAAGAAGCAAGTTGGCCTAACCCCTAAACTTTGTAATAAGTGGATTGGTCCGTTCTACATAATTGAGGACAATCACAACAACACCTACAAACTTAGGAATTGTGCTGATAACACAGAGCTAAAATCTGCAGCACATGCGGATGATCTGAAACCTTTTCATGATCCTGAAATCCGCCCCACAAACAGATTAGATCCCCTCCCGGATAAAGATGAAGAGTTGAGTTCCAGTGGTGATGAGTCGTCACAAGCAGATGAGTCAGGAAGCGAAGCTGATGATCAGTCAGACGCTGAAAACGATAGCGTAGACGATGAAAACGGACCAACTTACAATGTCGAGAAAATAAGGGGGCAAAGGGGTACTGTGACCGTGTGAAATGACCAGATTTTGAGTGGCAATTATTTTCTTTGATATAGTGCTAATAATAACATAATTATAGACCTTGACCGCAAGACATTTGATGCCACCTGTACCTGAGTTAACATGTTAATTATTATTCAATTATTGCAATTATGTCAATTATGTCCTTCTGCCCAGAGTTACTCGGATTTGTAATTACTTCTTGCATTGTTCTTATAAATTGGTAGTTTAATACAAGATCTTCAGTTGGAAGCTGGACCTTGCACAGTCCACGCCGACTCACAGATCGTGTAGAAAACGCCAAGTTTTGAATCGTAATAAATTATTAAACGAAGTACCGATGTGCATTTCTACCGGTCATAGTAGTACGGTTTACCACTTTGTAGTAATTAATTATCGATAATTAATTCGATCGTTTATGTACACCACATAACACCACAGGAGACCAGACAGACCGGACGTGAGTCGCGGTGATCCGGATTCATTTCAAATTGATGCATGTTTTCAAATCGAAATTCAAAATGTAAAACTAAATAAATAGGGTTTAGTCGCGTATTTGTAGTGATATATATATATATATATATATATATATATATATATATATATATATATATATATATATATATATATATATATATATATATATATATATAAAGATTAAGATAAAATCGAATGCATTTTTTTTGCACAAAAATAAATACAAGAGATCTAAATTTCAAGGTATTTTCAAGAATAGGTCATGTTAAAAAATCTCTATTTTATATTATTATTTTCTGTCTGATTGTACAAAATTTTGACAGTCAAACCTGTGTCGAAAGTGTAAAAAGTAGGTGCAAATCATACATATCGTTTTAATCTGACAGGCGTACCGGGTGTATAAATCAATACGTCTCCTTCAGATCTGGTTTACTGCGCCTGTATTAAAAAAAATAAAACCTGCCGATTTAATGCTTAAAGCGGCAATAGATCCTATACTTTATAAAATGTTCTGTTTAAGCTGATCTAATTGCAAACGTCGTACGGATGCTTGAGTGGGTTAAATTGAGAGGAAACAGAAGAAGGATTCCTGATTGTCAGATTACTGGAGCTTATCTTGTTCATTGCAGCTATTTACATTAACGAGTGTGAAAAATTATGGGGTTATTATCACGATTGATTTGTATTATCAGATATTTTACTTTTTGATCCCATCGATTATTTGAAAAGTTAGACAATGTGGGTTATTTTAATGACAGTGACTAGTTATGTAAGAAAATTATTTGGCACGTGATGTCTAAGTACTTGTACACTTTCCAAGAAAGTTTCATTTGGAAAATTATAAAGGAATAACATATCCATCATTGTTTAGATCATTAAATGCAGCATTGAGCCCCGCCTCAAATTTTTAGTTTCTGCACATGTACTTTGCATTTGGTAGGACGTCAAATACGTATGTCACTATAATTAAGTAGGGCATCCAGATCCGAAACTCCATTGCAATCATTTCCCTCTGTCTCCCATGCGCTTTAATTAAAGATGTTGACTTCCGGTAGAACCTTATTCCTGCGCATATATACCTCTCTACTGTCATCTGTTTCACATTTCACTTTAACTTCATTGTCACCCAGGACGGAATCAGGAATCTCCCAACTGATCGTCGAATCATCCAGCTTTTTGTCTTTTTACACTTTATGCTTACTGGTCAAATTTGAGAAAATAACGATGAGAGAATAAAATGGCTTTATCTGAAATTGAGAGATCACATTAAGCTGAGAGAGAATTGGTACATCATTGCAAACGTTATTAATAACCATATATGAAAATTAAATATACACACTTTAATATTATCCATTTCTGGATTTTTGAAAAAAAAATTACGTCAATGAAAATACCATGAACTATTAATCAATATCAGCATAAAGTTGTTTCCAATGTTAAACATTTAAAATTACTTGTATTTTTTTTTTTGGCTGAACGCCAAAATTAGTCATGTACATGACCCAAACATCCTTAAAAACGAATAAAAAATTTATGTGGTACCTTGATATTCTAACTAAAAAAATAAAACCAGCAAAGTCATGATAAGCGAGAGAGTGAATCGGTTCCCTACATAATTTAACCATTTTTATGAACTGGGCCTAGAAGAGTTAAAGTTTGTTATTGATATTTCATAGGATTGATTTATTGAAACATGTCCAATGTATAAAGAATTATGAGAATTATTTACTACTGCGCAATGAAAATGACAGTGTAGCTCTACTGGTTTTAATTTATCAAGTTATATTTGTGAAACACTGATGCCCCCGTATAAAAGCTCATTAGTATAGTTCAAGTTTCTCAAATGCAATTAAAACCCTAGGGACAAGAGGTAAAATATTGATACCCAAAAAAGGCCTTGTCACAAGGAATATGCATGTCAAATATGAAAGCCCGTGCACCAACCATTCAGAAATTATGGTCAGCGTTTAAGTACAGATGTATTTCAAATGTTGGTCAAACTCCAAGGTCAAGACCATAAATGTTGTTACGAATATAAGAAATACACAGGTGAAATATGAAAGCCCGTGCACCAACTATTTTAGAAATTATGGTTCAAGGTTAAAGTTTTTCAAAAGCAGGTCAAACTCCAAAGTCCATGTCATAAAGCAAATAAGGAGTACACATGTGAAATATGAATGCTCTAGCACCAACAGTTTGAAAGTAATGACCAAAGTTATTTTTTTCAAAAGTAGGTCAAACTCCAAGGTCATAAATGAGGCTAAAAATGTTGGTACCCAAAGGAAGGTCTTGTCACAAAGAATAAACAAGTGAAATATGAAAGCACCAGCCATTCAAGAGTTATGGCCAAAGTATTTTTTTAAAAATAGGTCAATCTCCAAAGTCAAGGTTAAAAGGTCGAGATTTGAAACCAAAAGGGAAGGCCTTGTCACAAATAAGACCTGTGAAATTTGAAAACCCTAGCAACAATCGTCCAAGGAAAGATATTTTCAAAAGAAGGTCTTACCCAAAGGTCAAGGTCAAAAATATTGTTACCCAAGGAATGGTCTTGTTACAAGGAATTCACGCGTGAAAAATGAAAGCCTCAGCACCAACCCTTTAAAAGTAGTGATCAAAGTCAAAGGTTTTCAAAAGTATAGGTCAAAATCCAAGATCAAGAATGTTAGTATCCAAGAAAAGGTCTTGTCACAAGAAATACACATGTGAAATATGATCGCACTAGCACTACATGTAAGTGTTCCAAAGTTATGGCCAATGGCAAAGTTTGGTAAAATTTTGAAAAAAGTGGGTTAAACTCCAAGGTCAAGAAGTCAAATATGTTGATACTTAAAGGAAGTTCTTGTCTCAAAGAATAAAAGAATCAAGGAGGAATAAAAAATAATCATGTACAAAAGTTTCATCAGACTTTGGGGGGGGGGGGGTCAAGTTTCTCTCTCTCGTTCTTTCTCTCCCTGACAGGAGCATTTCCTCCGAAAGAAGGATGAGATCAATTTTAGTATTTCATAGTTTTTATCCCGTCTATTTTCAATGATTTGCTACACCGTAAATTACGAGAATCTACATAAATGAAATAATTGTATCCTGAAATTAAATTACATTTTGACATAATTACATTTTTACATTTGATTCTTATCAGAAAGAAGCGATGAGATCAATTTTTAGTATTTCATAGTTTTTATCCTGTCTATTTTCAATGATTTGCTACACAGTAAATTGCGAGAATCTATATAAATGAAATAATTCTATCCTGATATTAAATTACATTTTGACATAATTACATTTTTACATTTGATTCTTATCTGTTAAAGTAGTTTAAATTTTTATCCTTATGATATCAAACTTTCAAGAGTTCCAGCATTTCAAAAGAATTGTTTTGAAAATCCCATTTCAGATACCATGACAGCATCATTTCTAATTTTTCTCGACAGAAGAAAAATTACTGAATTTTGAGATGACTGTATGTCTAACAGTCTCAAATCGTGCCCTAGTCATAACGCTAAATTGATTTGAATTAAGGGCATACGCAACGTAGTTTGAACATTATTGTCTTTTCCCCTGGAGTTGAAGAGTTTCAATACTTGAGGGACCTGTGTGTTACTCTTTTAATGTCTATATATGGTGCTGTACACCTCTTCTAAAACAAGTTTGGATGAACAAAACATCTAGAATATATGTTAATAATTGTTGTATATTTTTCTTTGAATTATACAAGAATTTTCATCATTTGATATCATTTCAAAACCCCTGGTAATGCATGCTGATTTTTTGTCTACGAACATCTAATGGTACTATAATGTCAAATTAAGAATATTTTGAAAAATTATCAGTAAGTAAGGTACGTTGCCTATGTCCTTAATTCAACTTTTCGTACGCTGTAACTTGTGACCTAAAGATGTCTCAAGATCTTAAATCATGGTCATATCCCAGACGTCAAGATAATAAAATGGGTCAGGGTCATTACTTGATAATCTTGTTGCCATGAATAAAAACTTAAAAGAATTTGACAAGATGTGTCAGAGTTTTTCTCAAAAGTCAATGGACATTAAAATTGTGAAATGCTGCCTGTCCTATCATTTTCGCACCCTTGATTGAAATTCAAACTTAAGTAAGTTAATGCGCATGTCCATGACCTAAAGAAGTGTCAATGTCATATCTTTGAATTCTAGGTAACTGGGCATTGTGATTGTAAAATTTGCCTCTCGTACCTTTGATAAGAATTAATTCTTCAGACAATTGTTGTTGTGCACAGGTTGTAACCGGAAATTTTGAAACTGTCGCCGAGATGTTCAAACTTTAAGTTTCGCTGTCCCTGACATAAAGAACTGCGAACGATAGTATTGTTCTCCCGCCTACCTCCAAGTCAATTTTCAAAAGTTAACACATTTTAATGATTTTTCATATTTCTATAAATATTTATATGAATTTTCATAAAACATTACTTCTTTGGGAAAACAAAGAGAGATAACTCTATAATTTGAGTAAAACTTGTGTTTTTCACTATAGAAATCAATGGAAAACGGAAAATATTTTTAAAACAT